TGCACAGGTAATTCCACATTATTTCTTAGCCATTTGATTTAAGTATATTATACCAAAGAAATATTATTTGATAAAGAACCATTAAGTTACACTTGGGTTGCATACATGTTAATCTTTCGTACAAGATATAAAAGATCAGAATAACAAAGTCTTTCATTAATTTCCTAATCATTCTAAAAAAATGTTTGCATGCTTCACTACCATGCATCCAAGGTAAAAATGGAATTGTGGGATAGTATTCATGACGTGAAATGATCTGGAATGCATATTTATAAATCAAGCATGCCAATTGTGAGTATACCAATAATAATTTTACCATTGATTTTGCTAAAGAAGTTAACAACTTGTAAGTTTGGAAGCAAGGATATTTTTTTCTAATGACATGAAGAAACTATATTGACTTGCTGTTATTTCAATATGTTTATGCTAAATATTTCAAAAAAAATACCCAAGCATTACCATATGACAACTTTTGAGGTGGGAAACATCATGGTTCAAAAATGCATCAATTAGTTCATTTATATTATTAAAAATTGTAAGATTTTTACATAAACATAGACAAACAATCTTGACTTATTATTTAATATACTATTGTTTAAAATAATGATATTTGTACCAAATAAAGAAGAAAACGATCTATGAGCTGTTGAATATAACATCTTAAAACATCACTAATGAAAAGCTGAGAATTATTCATTCTTGCTAAATCTAAAATATTACCAACCAAAATTATATGTAGAATTTCCAAATGACAGTTGTCTTGCACACTAAAAATGCTATTCCGACCTTTTTTTTTTTTCGCATGATTTGGATCAGTAACTGCTAAAACTGGTTCAACAAGAGTAATTTAATACCTAGTGATTGATGATGTAATTAGATTTATTAAAATAATAATGATGATGAATATTAAAATGAGTGGAATATTATGAATACGCCATAGTAATTATCAATAAAAGTTGATTTCTTCCCTGCTGAAACGCTCATGATATTAATTACTATGTGCCCCAAATTCTAGTGCATCTGCATCAGCACTGTTCTTACATTGAATTGTTTAGCAAGATCTGGAATTTTGTAGTGGATTTTTGCAATAGTAACTGAAGTTTCACTACCATCTGTTGGCAATAGTCCCAAGACAAAAGGTGGAACTTGTGGTAGAGTAACTTGCAAATTCACCTTGGAGAAGCGATTGGATGTTGAAACCAAAAATGTCATCTGTAATGGTTATCATGCCAACGATTGCTGTAAAAAAATAAATTCAAGTATGCCATTTTATCAAAAATTTAACATTTATTCAACTAAAACGGAGTATTTTACAAAGATTTACAGCATGTTTAACCTATGTAAAATTTGATTTTTGTGCAATATACTAGAGAAATGGCGATGCTGGATGATGAAAGTAAATCCATTTAAGCAAACTATAAATCGCCCTACTTTAATTGGGTACAGTGGAAAGTAATTCTTTAGAATTAAAGAAATTTTTTAATTTTATTTTTGCTAAAAAGAAATTTTCTCTCATTTCCACAACCACTCATACACTCACATATCTTCATTATTATTATTGTAAATTTTTTACATATTGGTGTAGTCATTTTATTTTATTCCATTCCTACTTTAATATGGAAAGCCAAAGGTGACACACATATGTATTGGTGATTATTCAATGCGTGTAGATATTTCAGGAAGTCAACAAATTATATAAATAATTTTTAAAATATAAAATCTGTGTATATTTTGTATTCCTTCTAATATTAATATTAATATTAATAAATGATTGCTGAATATGAAATCCGAAATTATTTGAATTCTTATTTTATGTTCATTCATATAAATTATTGCCTTTTTAAAGCAAATTCTCGCTTGCATTCATAATTGAATACGTAAATGAACTTTGATTTGAAACTGTCAAATTGCCACCACTTACACTTTTAGATGATAGTGATGACAAATAATTAGATATTCATTTGTTATGTTGTTGCCTATCAATACTATTCAAGACAATTTATTCTTTATACTCTTCATTAGTAGTTTTACTATTTTCCTTTTCATTTATTGTTGAACGTCTATACTACGTTAAAGATTTGTTTTAAATGTACTGTAATCGTACTGTTTGCCAGTTTGCATTTTATATAATTAATTATAGTAATTATAATTAATAATTATAGTTTACAAGTTTATAACACTATCTTTATGTATTACTATGTATTTCATTGACAATATAGGATTGTGTTCAAATTATATGAAAACCAAGTTTCATGTGGTCTTATTATCTTGTTAAAGAAACCTTAACGCTAACAAGTAAATATAGCTTGAGATGGCACATCAATCTAAATGTCTACAATAATAAAACGGATTTTATTAAACTGAAAATAGTTTTTTATTGTAAAATGACTCTTTTCCTTTATCTGTTATTTCCATTAATTTACTAAAATAGTAATAATGAATGATTTACAATTTTTTATGAAACAATTGGATGGCAATAAACAAATTGAGCGAATAAACCTTTACCAACGAATAGTTTAATTATGGTTATTTTGGTATGGATTTATCAGATTGAAACTTGTGCTCAAGCCAATGCTTGTTATTTTATACAGGAAAACCTATATTATTGAATAAAAACGATATTATCGGCGAGCTCAAAAAAAACTGTCGTTGTTTACCGACAAATTTTTGTTTTTGACGGATTTTATCGTTGGTATTCATTATGAAACTATTAAGTAACTATGCGATAGAAACAAGCATGATAAATGTAAACAAATAATAATGGCAAGTAATACGTAAAAATTATGGAATCTCTATCTTGGTGTAATTTATACAGTAGTAATAAAAGAGCCGTATATATTACCTAATTTAAGTTCTTTCCAAGATTCAAATCATTAACAATAAGTTTTATTACCAATACTATTTCATAGTTGTAAATTAAATTCTATATTATCACAAGTAGCATTGATATCAACAATTTGTTTATTATCCACATCCAATACTTTTGACCTTATTTCAAAATATAATTATTCATTTTGCTTTCACCAATCTTAAATATATCCAAACTAGTCCGACCTTGACAACCAACAGTTTCATCTGTTTCTTTAATTTTTATTACAGCTATAGTTTGTTGAGCCCCCCCAAAGAATTAATTCAAATCCAACTAGAAATTAAGTATTTAATATGTAAATTTAATATACTTGCTTTTGGGCCTTTTGAAGTAATAACATGCATCATGACTAAAGATGATAATATTAAAGGAATTTTTTATATCAAATTTTCTTAAATGTTCATATTAATGGAATTAATAATACCTTGTAAATTTTTTAAAACTCTGAATAACACAACTCCAAATTTCAATTTCCCTTACTAATAAAGATATTATAGATCTATGAAAAAATTCAGGATTATTAAAAAATTCCATAATATATTCGATAGTAATCTATTTATGTCAACGCCCATTTTTAAATATTAATTTTATATCAATCATTAATAAATTTATTTATCCCAAACATTATATATAAAAAAAAAATGTGAAGATAATAAAAATTTATAAATAGTTTGACGAGCGAGTATATAAGCATAATGATAAATCAATTTAATTTTACAATCTCTTTACCATCCACCCAATCAATAACTTTACTATACAGCTGATCTAGTTGATGAAAAATTTAACAAATCGGCTTTCTGACGACTTGTATAGAATGATTTATCTAACAAGTAAATTATTTAATTACTAATTTTTGTTACTTAGCTTCTGCTAATTTAACAATCTTTTTTTTTTCCTTTTAGATGAGTAATAATATTCTCCAAAACAATTGTAAATTTCTTTAGCTGCTGGACTATTTTCTGAATTATGATCCCGACATCTTTTCATCAATTCAGCACAGAATTCAGGAGTACCATCTGTGATTTGAGACCTTACTCCTTTTAAACATCTAATACGAAATAATGCTTATGAAAGGGGTTTCTCTGAGATATGTTCCATATTATCATCTAAATATGTATATGGTTTTTTTGAGGTGCCAGATATGAATTATTTCCAAAGATTTATCTTTTTTACTATACAAGTGCAATTACTATATGAATTTTCTTTTAATCTAGTTCATAAAAAAAATTTTTTGTATATATATATATTTACATATTTATGTAAATTAAATAACGAATCCGACCTTCTGAAATATATTGAAATTTATTTTAATTTTTGTGTAAATTCCCTCAATAATAATAAGTATTCTCATTTGAATCTTTAGTGATTTCATAACATTGTTAAGAAAACGTCCAAATTTATTATTTGTTTTTGGTTAAAAATAAATCATTATTATATTCATTGTATAATGAATATAATAGAACCATATTTATAAAGATTTGCCTCTTAAAATATATAAGTTTGATCACAGGAATTATATTCTATTTGCAACAATCCGTATTGTTTTGTGTACTCCAAATCCACCTTTGGCTAAATATTCAATGTTTTTAAATTCATTGAATGTAACTGTTTCATGTAATTATTAAATAAGATTCTAATTCTATTTATTAATTCATCACCTAATTTATGGATTATTTGTGCTTTCTTATCTTCATGTTCTTCCTGCCTAAATCTTTTTTTCATTTAATGAGTCATAAAATAAATTTGTTTGATTCATTTAGTTGGGTGAGTGATTCATTCAATGGATTGAATATATTCTCTCTTGACACCTGTCACCATTTCATTTGTTTATTTTAAAACCTAATTGGCCAATCCATCGCCTAATTTATAGGTTTCTTATCTTCTGGTACAATTTTCTATTTTTTTAATATGTCAAGTAATTTATTTGATTAATTTAGTATAATAATGTATAGATTTGTGATGTAAGATTGCGATTATACTTTTAAAGTTTTTATTAAAATAAAGGGTTATAATATTAGTAAATATTTATATACAATGAAAATTATGACTCTCGGCATTATAGTTTTATAAAGAAAAATACTTTAACGGACAAATCCATGTTCGGTTTTGTACTGTAATAGTAACGCTCTACTCCGAGAATCTTGAAATTGACACCTTGATGTAATTTTTTATAACTAAATTTTGTAGAACCCATTCATTTTTTTCTTTAAAGAATAAAGTATAATTCACCATGCACTTCAAGAAGTTGAACAATTTTTGTATTAATGAATGATTCCGCTGTATATACTGAAAGTTTCGGTAACTACGCAAAAATATACATAATAAAAATATAATAATTATATCATTTCGTAGCTTGGATTCTCAAAAACAAGCATGCAAAATCTCAAGTTCCTGTGATTAAAAAGAAAAAAAGAAAAAAATTCAATTGCTCAAAAATATACAATACTACCACTCTTTAAATTTGACGATTTATAATTCAAATAGTAAAGGAACTATTTATAAAGATGGTATTTTGTTGGCTGACCATTGTTTGTAATAACAGTTTCTCTTCTCCTTGATAAACAATCAAAGTTTAGGACGTCCACTTCTTAATAACTCTCAACCCATATCTTTCTAAAAGCTTTTAACATTCTAATTATAGTAATTCTAACAATTCCAAGTACTTTGAAATACGTGAAATTGTGCATCCACCTTTATTATTTGACCATGTTTCAGATTATTTTAAATTTGACATTTTGCATGCATGTTTTTGAGAACTTTGACTACGATTTGGTATAAACCATTTATATTTTAATTAATTGTTTTATGACGGCCAAAACTTTGTTCAGAGTTAAGATAGTGTCATCTTCAGACCTTTTGTTTCAACCTTGCTCTTAAAATGGTAAAATGAGCTTCAAAGTTTTAACATCAATCTTATCTACTCCAACTTTATTTTCCATTATAAAAATTAAAGGATTCATTTTTTAACAGTTCCGTTAAATCATTCAAAATATGTTGTGATGGCAAAGCATCTTTGCTGTAATTAATACGATTTCTAAATAATATGTTGAAAATTTCCAAAGATAAAAAGATTGTAGACAGATTTATCATTGGGTCGGATGTTTAGAAATGGACTTGTTGATATCCTCCTCGTCTGAGGATAAAAACATTATGAGTGATGATAGATGGATGGATTATTAAAACCAGGATTTCCTATTTACCGCCACCATATTTATGCTAGATATATCATCGTAATTTAATAAAAAAATAAACTCGGATCACGCGTGCTCAAGCTGTTTATTGGATATTCACGTGATATTTTGATAAAGGAATTAAAGATGAAGGATTTATTTATTGAGTTTGTGAAATAAGTAAATATTGATTAATAAAATCAATGTTTTACTGACTTCTTGAAAACCAATGTTTAGCAATCCTCATAATAACAACAACAACGACGACGACGACGACAACAACAATATCAATAACAACAATAATAAAATGTAATAATAATAATAATAATAATAATAATAATAATAATAATAAACACCATATTTGATTAATGATTCTATTACAAATATCACAAACAAAGTTTTTTTATTAAAGCACGCTGAAGCAGTTCGACAAATTCCAAATTGAAAATATTTCAATCACTTACATTTCTAATTTATAATTAGAATTAAATAGTTATACATTTATTTATTTATATTATTTATTTACACATCTAGAATGTTGGAATAATAATGGAAATTGCCAAATTAAAATTCCTTCTTTTAAAGAAAGAACAGTCACAAATAAATGATGTAATGAGACAAAATGAGAAGTTCATGATATGGGTAAAATTAAGAAAGAGTCTAGGAATATGGAATAATTATGAATTTTCTACAAACATGTATGTAATGAGAATTCTGTTTTCATGTTGATACCATGCAAATATTTTTCAAAGTCACACACATTCTAAAATTCTTTATTGGCTAACCCATCTGTTAGGTTATCAGAATGAGCAAATCAGTTTTTTTATTTTTGGATCAAATACTATTATTATTATTATTACTACTATTCAAAAATTCATTTCTTTTTTGAGGAAATCATTTTATATGGAGTAGGAACAAATCATTTTTTTATTATCCAAATTTGGTTATGGATGTAATGTTTATATTATATTTTATTTATGTGGGTGTGTATCATCATCATGCGTTTCGTAGAACCAATTATAATTTTGACGAAGGGAGCAATTATTGCTCCAACACATTGACCTTTAACCAATAACGAAAAGATGGGTTTGTTGTTGTTAAAAATCTTGTCATGTTTCTGCAAAACGCGTTTGCGACAAATGGACAATTAAATATTTTTTAGATAAATCAATTGATCAAAATTTGGGTGACAACATCTTCCCATAGACAATAAATTAGTGAGTCAAAGAAGATTTTTAAGATGTTTTACACATATATATTACATGAATTGGCTAATATCAATTTGAAACATACTATATATATATTAATTATTTAATTTTTAATTACAAGCAATGTTATATTAAACATTGTTTGAATAAATAGGAATCTTCCTTGAACTCTTTTATGGAACGACATTCCCTGAGAATGATGTACGTTCGACGAAATGTTTTCAGGGCCGTATAAACATTACGTCAAATTTACCAACTAAAAATGGCGAGTGGCCAAGAAATAACGTAAAAAAAATTATACCGTTCATGTGCACATACTTCTATTTTTCGATTTTTCTAGAAGAAAAAATTTTTTACGGAATAAAAATTCCGAAAAAAAAAAGATAATAATAATAATAAATTATATTAATACAGTAAAGATAATATAGCAAATCAAAATAAAAGGCTAATGTATGTATGTTGTATGTATGTGGGTTGTTTATTAGTTGCTGATTTGTTTGAAGATAACAAATAATTACGGATGGATTGATAAAACATGCCATTGAAGCCATTGAGTATTAATATATCGAATATGGGATCCAATCAATTAAACATATTAAAATGGTAAATTTGGTGGTGGATGGAATTTAGAGGATGTATGGTATGGATGTATGAAGTGCGTTCATTGAGTTGTAAAGGAAGGAAGTATCACGCAATTTTTTTGTAAATGAAAAAATAATTTTACACAGGTTTGAAACAAGAAGGAAATAAAGAAAGAAGGGAACGAACGAGTGACATGAATGAAAAAATGTTTAAATTGATTTCTTGTACGTGTGTATATAGTATAACAACACAAACAGTTATAAAACATCTATTTTGATTTTCTTTTTTCAATTGATTTCTGCGGGCGGTTGTACGTAGAAGTGTTAATCAAGATCATTATCAATCCATTATTTGATCATATGATTTTGTTAATACATAACAATAAAGATAAAGTCCTAATAAGAGCTTTCAATAAAGATTAATAGCGAATCTATTATATTGTCGAATAAATAGTTTCAGAACCATAAAGGGTTGTGCGTAGAAAGAAAATCATTTTTTATATTTAATTTTGGTTTTTCTTCTCTAATTTTAGATGAATTAATTAATGGCTTTTTATTTTATTGCCAAAGATCTGGTAATATTTAATGACAATGTATTGCTGAATACAGTTTATTGACCGGTCAGTAATAGGTAACAACAATAATAGTAATAATAGTGAGATTCGAATATCTAAATGGTGGCTAATGCAAACGTGTATGGACGGGTTGATGAATGTTTGAAGTGGGGTGAAGCGAAATTTAGATGATGAAATAAAAATAAGGCAAATTAATATTTATGGCGCAATATATTTATACTGTGCCTGTGCCTCTATAATAAAATAATAGAGATGAAGGAAAAATATAATTTACACAAAATTTATATTGTGCTATTATAATAAACAATAAACAACTGCGTATTAATTATTATTGATTGATGCTGCGTGAATTGTCATTCATTTTCACACATTCACATTTATTTTTTTTATTTACAAAGTTTGATTCCTTTTTCCAGGTACCCCTTTATTATTCCTATTAGAAAGAATGCGAAATGTGTAAATATTAATATAAACATTAATATAAATAAAATAATCGGTCACATGATTAACTGAAAAAAACTTTTTTTTTGGCATTTTTTTTTATAAATGAAAATTTTATTTTTGTCACAGTCGTCACAAGTAGTGGATAATCAATCTAAAAAATCTTCATCCCAATATAAATAATTGTGTGCAAGTTTATATGGGACGATCGTATACAATAAAGGGAAATAATGTAACAAACAATACCAATTATTTAAAACATTCCATTTTTCTTTATTTCACTTAATTTTTATTAAACTTCAAATGTTAATATCTAAATATTCGAGTCCAATACAATTTTTTTCAGCAGCAAACCCAACAGCAACGAATAAGTCGATAACATTGACAACAGAAACCGGATCCATAGCCTACAATAAGGGAAATATAACGAACCAAAAATAACATAAAGTCAACACATATGTTTTTATATATCATTTATTATTAATTTAATAAATTTTTTTATTTAAATTTTTTTTATTTCTCTCTTATTTTTTACTTGTTGGTGTTAGAAAACTTTTATTCGGTTTGGTTTCGCTGTTTGGTTTACAGTAATAGTAAACGAAAAGCAAAAAAAAAAACTTTACAACATATTTATTTTTCCAAGCTGGTTAAGAAAAAGAAAAAAAAAAAAAAAAAAACTTCTTTCTCTCTTTCTTGGAGAAAAATTTATTTACGTTATCAAAAATACATATAATTTACTCTTATACTGGCTTTCATAATTAATCACATTTTATAATAATAATAATAATATAATATTTATATAGACATATATAGTATTTTCTAATTCGATTATGAATTATCATCACCAACTTAGATATAATCATAATTCAATTGAAATACCACCGCAACCGCCATCTTCTACTTTGTCATCTTTATCTTCTTCATCTTTATCTTCTTCAACTTCATCTTTATCATCTTCCTCTTCTTTATCATTGTCTTCTTCATCATTGTCTTCATCATCTTCTTTTTTATCTCCTCCATCAGTTTCATATAATTATCAACCTTTTATTATTACTCCTCCTTTTATTTCTCAACATCATGAGCAATTTGATCAAAAATTACAACCAACTTTTGAAATTTGTCGTGAGGCCGAGGACTCGATTAATCGTGCTATGAAGTATAATTTTAAAGTCGCTGCTACTTGTCAATATCCTTCCAAGAATAATTCCAAAATTGATTCTACGAGTGATTCTATGACAATGATAGATCTAGAACAACAAATGCGACCACCGCCACAGCAGCAGCAATTGATTAATTCTGTTAACACGAATAAACTTGTTCAAAACACTGCTAGAATTAGTAATACTACGGAAAATAAAATTAATAATAACGATATCGATAATAATAATGACTATACTACTATTCATAACATTATTCCTAATTTGATGAGCGAGAAAGAGAAAAAAGCAAAATTTGTTGAGAAGCTTGTCGGTGAGTAGAGAAAGTAAAATTTAAAAGAAAATTTTATAAACCAATTTAATTTGATATTTTCGTAAGAGAGAAAACAATTAATGTTTGTGTATATATATTATTAGACATGACATGCCTTATAATTAATGTTATTTGGGCTGAATTAAGTGTTAATCCAAATACCAAAGTTATTCCACTAAAAATTTTTGTTCGGGAAACTTTAAGACGTTCTAGGACATCATACTCTACATTACAAGCAACTTTATTTTATTTGTTTCGAATTAAGCCCCAGATTGATTTGATTACTGCTAATGCTAATGGTGTTAATCAAGATAATCAGAAACAACAGAAACTTCTTGCTACGAGTAACAACAACAATAATAATCCTGCCACATGTTGTAGACGTATGTTTTTAGCTGCATTGATAGTTGCGTCGAAATATCTTCAAGATTGCAATTATTCTAATAGTGCATGGTCAAAGATCTCGGGATTGCCAGTTGGCGAAATAAATGCAAATGAGATTTGTTTCCTTCAATTGATCGATTATAATTTATTTATTTCTGAAGATATTTTTAGACGTTGGAGTAGTTTTCTATTGAAACACATCCAAGATACTTTACATAACGGTGGCAGTAATAACAATCATGGTAATAACCATAATGATAGTGAAAGTAATAATGGTGACTATGATAATAATAATCTCGTTAAGCCAAGTACTAATAATAATAATTATGATGGTATGAAATGTAATAATAATATTAGCAGCAATAATAGTAATAATTCACAAACACGCAAATCACAATATGCAATTGGGTGTTGTGATGCTTGTAGAGGGAGAAACAGATTGTGTGATCGCTGCAAAGAAAGAAATAGGAATATTGATAATAATATCAATAACATGATGGATATTGATTATAATAATAGTAATTTTAGTTTTAACATTAATATCGCAAATGTTAATAATAATATTAGCAATAGCAATAGTCATAATCATAACCAACGATATGAGAATAATCAATATTCTGCGGCTACTGAATTTCAAGAAATTTTGAAATCAGAAGGATGTTATCAACGTAATTCAAACGTTAATAATAGAAATGATTCTAGAATTATGGCAAATTAAAAAAAATGCAATAAGGATACGATCTTTATTTATTTAACAAGTTACAAGAAATATATACAAAGTATTTTTGTGATGATCAGCACTTCGTTTTTTATAACAATACTACTATAGTATATTTCTTGTGACTTTTTTAAATAATGATGCAGAGATAGAGGTAAAAAAAAAAGAAACAGAGGCATACATATGCATCCAAATGTTTTGATTCCATTACTTTGGACATAAGACTTGAGAAATACATAAGCTTTTACATATAATACTATATATTTATATATTATTATTATTATTATAAATATATATAATAAACATAATTGTATATAAATATATATACTATTTTATTCATTATTTATATTTTTATATTTATTTTATTTTTTCGTTTCATATTTCATATTATATATATTTTTTTATAAGTTAGTATGTATTATAATATATGAATCGCTTCATTATATATATTATATTTTTTTTTTTTAAATAATAATCTAGAATTTTTTAATAAAATTTTTTTTGTTTTTAATTTTTTTTTTTAAAAAAAAAAAATTTATTTATTAATTAGATTTCACATACTTGTATATTATGTATATTTACTATATATAATATACAAGTATGTATGGTAGCAGCCAGCATACAGAACATCAATCATCGAATCAAGCAAGATTTAAGAAATTTTCAATCAATCGATCGATTATTATTATTAAAGATCATTAAAGATGTTGGCTAGTGATACTAGTGATAATAAATTGATGAATAATAATAATAATAATATTTAATTAATTAATTAATTAATTTAATTAATTAATCTTTTAATCTTTTGATTCTTTTGATTATATTTTTTAATTTAGATTCTTTAAAATGGTGTATATATTTCAACAAAAAATTCCAGGGTTAACAAGTAATCCAAATAATATGTGTTTAATTTTAACAGAATTTGTTTGCGTCACAACGTCTATGAATTCTGGAAGTTTCGACGAGGACACTGATAATTTTATCACGCGAGCTGTCCATAATAACGTGACATATCAACAAAACGAAAAGGCCTTTCTTTTTACCTAATTGAAATTCCGTGAATAAAGTTAGATTGCTTCATTTGCTAATTTTCATCTTTTTCCATGATGATGATGAACCGAATCAAAATAAAACCCAATATTCCCTCCTTTTTTTTTGTAGCCTCGCTTTTTCTTTTTTTTTTTCGCGTTTTCGAGCCAATTGATCCTGGAATATTTATACATCTGATTTTTCAAAACAAAAAAAAAATCTCTGGGACGTCTCGATTTTCAGTATAGCAAAAAAAAATTTTTTTGTTTCCTTATTTATATATCGACTCCTTTTTTTTTATTTCAGAATCAATATAAACCTTTGTTACCATTTGTAGATATTAAAACCTGCTTCTGCGCGTAAGAGCCATACTTTTTTTAATCGTGCACCAAAATGAAGAATTACAGGCTAAAGAATTATCATATGGAGGATTTTATACCTTAAACTGAAGTAACATTGGATTCACATTCTACGTAATAATGATGGCTTGGCTTCTAAAAACTTTTCTAAAAACGTATTCTCAAAACTTTCGATGTAGGTTGCTGCGGACTGCGAGAGTTTCTTCTTTATATCTATAAATGGCTTTTGATGAACGCCAATAATGTTTAAATAATAATTGCAAAATAGATAATTATTTATATATATATATTGCTTATTTTATAATAATACCACGCAACACAAATTTACCAAAAAATATTGTTCTAGATTTCTTATCTGAAATCACTAAATAAATACAATGTATTTAATTTAAAAAAATAATAATAGTAATAGTAAAATGGAGGTTAAAAGATTACTATTACAATTTTCTTTGATAAACTAGATCACGTGCGTTTTGGCACATTTTAATTTTAAACTGGCAAAAATACTCATGAGAAATTGAGAGTAATTTAAAGAGAGTCGATTAATAGCAGAATTGTAGAATTGTTAAAGGTAATAATTATTCTATTAGCAATTTTTGTATTTAATGTATTTTCTTTAAAAAAAAAAGGAAAATGATGAGAATGATAAATGATAAAAACGATGACAAGGAAGGAACGATAGTCAAGTTTCACTTCTACAACCACATACTTCCTTACAAAGAAGTATGTCATCTCATAACATACGACAACGATTACTATAATATATCGCAAATATTTACAGCACCACGCATCGTCAACAAAATAATGATAAAAGAAATGCCGACAGCACATGACTACCCTTCGATTTTGGTGGTAATGACAGCTAGCTTCGTATATATAATGATAAATATATTTTTATTAATAATACTTGGTTACCTACATTCCCCAACAAAAGTGAAATTAATAAAACTAGTCTCAATTCAATTCGTACAAGGTAGTAATTTTAGTTAGCGAAATGAGTTGTCGGGGAATCGTCCTGTCGGAGAATAGTGATGTTAGCCGGCTAAGGGAAATTTAAAATTTATTTTTACGTCGGAATTTTAGTGCAAAATTCGGTGGCATAGGCATTTAGTTGAGATGGGTCCACCTACATTACTTAGAATGACAAAACATCAAAAAACAAAATGCAATACATAAAAGCCATAGAGTTCCTATTTGTAATGCAAATTCTTATTTTAATTGGAATTAGTGTTGGTTTCCAAAATTAGAGAGTTTCGCAACCGTGCGAAAGTTAAAAGGTTTCGCCATAAGTCGAAACTAGCTTTGACTTTTGACTATTGACTTTTGATTTAGTTTTGACATATAACTTTTAATTTTAGTTTTGACTTTCGTCTCTTTAAAATAGTTTTGGCGACCAACACTAATTGGAATTCTTATTATTTGTTTTATTATTGTTATTCATTTTATTCGATTTTTCGCTCTATTCGTTTTATTCATTTTACTCGAATTATTCGTTTTATTCGTTTATTCGAATAAATTTTCGATGTAATTCCGAATCGAACCCGGATACTTCACCGACAGGACACTTTGCTGACAGTACACTTCACCGACAAATATTGTGTTAACAATTTGCCAAGGACTGGGTGAATACCTGGATAACTAGCTAAAAATTTGATTTTTTACAACAAATTAAATCAACCGTTAATTAGCTAATAACACCACTTATTATCCTTACTTTGCATCAAAAACAAGTTCGTAAAAATACAATATAGATACATGTGTAATATATTTTTTTTTGTCTGATGAAATTGATAAAAATTGCATATTCATGTTATTTTTTTATTAAATTTATTTATCAAAAACTTTTATTGTGACACATTAATTATTATTATTTTAAAAAAATAACAAAAAAAAATTTTAAAATGAAATATTATGGGCAATGCCCCGAAGAAACTTTATAGTTGATCTAATGTTATGGTCATTTAATACTGTTTGAATCCATATTTCACGATTACGATCTTGTGGTTTCTGTGGGGGTCGTGGTGTTTCTCGCAAGACCATTTCTACGTCAAGTTCGACTTTACTTAGATTGTCGGCAAAGTGTCCTGTCGGTAAATTGACCTGTCGGTAAAGTGTCTTGTCGGTAAAGTGTCTTGTCGGTAAAGTGTCCTGTCGGTGAAGTGTCCTGTCGGTGAAGTGTCTTGTCGGTAAAGTGGGTGTCGGTAAAGTGTCCTGTCGGTAAAGTGGGTGTCGGTAAAGTGTCCCAGACCCGAACCAATTGGTTTGGATATTTGGATACTGTCATTCTTCATGAATTGTTTACAACCTAAAGTTTTGTTTTTTTGGACCACCAAGGTTTGCTATAATGCCAGTCAATTGACGATCCATTGGAATTCATTATGAATCATTTCAAGCATATTCGGTCTCAATGGGCCTGGTGCATTGCCAACCCTGTTTTGAGCCAAGAATTATATTTAAAACTAAAAATATGTTGATTTCAACTTGGAATACAATTTCTTTGCGGGTTACCACCAGAGAATAAGTTTCCTATCGAAGGATCGACAAATGTTTTGACCGTTTATAATCAATCGCAACCTAATTCTAAAAATGAACTTTAGTATCAATGATTTTTATCAAATTGTAAAAATCATTGTAAAATTCAATAAATTTTTTTACACAAAAATTGCCCATTTATAATTGAAAAAATTAGGTTCGTTTCTCTAAATAAAATTTTCTATCCGTTTGTTGGAATTTTTTTGTCTTCTAAATTCATAAATTATTATTCAAATTATTCAAAATGAAAAAAATTATAAAAAGTGTGCCCAAGAAAAAAAAAGACAATCTTGCAACCCCTAATGGTAATATAAGAAAAGAAAATTATGGTACGTATTCAATTTGTAATGGTATAATACTTGGTGTCAATCATGTAATCTACAATTGTTAACTTAAGAGTCTTTTATTAGATGAACTTCGCAAAACGGTGCTCTTTAATGAGGCTGGCGAACAAAAAGTTGAGGTTAATCAGAGACACTTGATCGATAAGGTTTTGGCAAGGTATGTACATAATGTTTGCAAATCAGACTTTTGATTTTATTTACATCATTAATCATTCGATCATATTTTATTGATAGATATTCGGCAGAGTTCGTGATATATAGGGAATTGATGCAGAATTCAGGTAATAATGAGCCTATTTTCTACTTGTTCCTAACTATTTTTATCTAAAATTATCAAAATCATTCAGACGATGCTAAGGCCAAAACCGTCCAAATAAAATTTGAAACTGACAAGTTAAAAAAATGCGGACGAATCATATTCAAGAATAATGGTTTTCTGTTTCGAGATGAAGATTGGAACAGGTTGAAAAAAATCGCAGAGGGAAATCCTGATGTAGAAAAGGTTTGGTTCTAATTGATTAATGCATCAGGTTTTTTTTTTGCGCGATCATTTTTGGATTGTTGAGAATTTAATTGTGGTTGATTTAGATTGGAGCATTTGGAGTCGGATTTTATTCGTTGTTTTCAATTTGTGAAGAGCCATTGTAAATAATTAAAGTTTATTATAAAGTTTGATGTTATTCCGTTCAATTAATCCAATTTTTGACCGCGTGGTACCTTTTCTTTTATTAGCATT